ATTGGAAGTGTTTCAGCGGTTTCTTGCAAGTCACTCATTCTCTTTAATTTCATGTGGTATACTAAAATCGAAATCTGGCTTGCAACATCAAAGAAAAAGGATAGTTAATTAAAGAGATCGATGAAAAAATAATATAACAAGTAATTTTACCTTCGTTTGGAACCCTGAACATTTGATATAAATATTAATTTATATGTGAGGTCAATATGTTTATATTTATAAATAGAAAGTACCCATGTTATAATTGAAATTAAATTCGTAGTAATTTGCATTTGATTAGATTTGTTGTTTTTTGTTTATATTTTAGAATGCTTTTTCTGATATCATCTCTTCATCTGGTTCTTATCTTTTCTAATTTAGCACACGCCTTAAGTTTATATATCTCTTCTTTTCTGATCTAAAACAATATTTTTTAGGTATCTTAAAAGACTCTAAAGAGTATTTGGTTTCCACTTATCATAGATATCGTCATACTTTTCACTAAAGTAGATAAAGTAGTAAAGTTTCTCAGCAGTTGGTTGTTTGCTGGAATAGGATCCCAAAGTTTTCAATAATACATTAGCTCCATCCGGAAACAGTGTTTGTTATTGTTAGAGATGTTAAAAGTCCGGTCCGGTTCAACTCGACTCTAGAAGTCGATTTTAATTATGACTCCGTCTAAAGTCAGGTTCGAGTTCAGACTCATTCATCATGTGACAGAGGTATCATCACTGATAAATAATCAAGTGACATAAGATATAGTCATTGATAATGTCATCTATAACAAAATCTCTATAGCAAACAAAATCATGATGCCAATATAGAGGAAATTTATTTATTCTTTATAATATCAGTAAACAGACGAGAAAAATGCTTTATATATATTTTTTTATTAATAAAATTCTCGTCTCTTTATTAATAGATTTAATTAATATATGTTAGAATACAAGACTTGTATATTATCAGCAACTTTTTGTAATTAAACAAGTTTTAATTGGCTTTGTTTTGAAACAAAGTACATTCTTTAAATTATTTGAATATCCTTTTGTTCGGCATTCTTTAATACCATTGTTTCTCGAGAAAATAATTATGTATATAAGATAGCGCCTGATTGTCATGTGCTTTTTGAGACTTTATCTTTTATGGTCCTTCCGAGTATAACTCAACTTAAAATTGTCCGGGCCAAGTTGACTCGAAAGACCGACTTCAATGAACTTTTTAACATCGCTAGTTATCGTAGGGTGTATCAAGATATAAATATTTTAAAAAATATATAGCAAAATAATTTGATGTTTTTAATGATTTAATTAATAATATATCAGGACAAGCTTTATTATTAAAATATTTTTAATAATATCATTACAACATTAGATTCAATTTACTTGGAAATTAGCTAGTTAAAAGATACTCAATTTTATATAATTAATAAGTAAGCTTTACATTGGAACACGATTAATCTTTTCAGCCGTCCCTCGTACTCTTAGTAAATAGAAACCATGGCATTATAACACATATGCGATACAATTTTTTACGTTATATTCATTGCTTTCTGGTGTAATTCTTCAAAGAAATAAGTAATAACGATAAGATTTAAAAAAATTGATCCTTTAAAAGAATCAATCCAGAATACATTTAGACAATACATGTACCTAGAAAAATTGAAAAATTTATCGTTCATTATCATAATTATTCTAATAATTTAGCTAATAAAAATTAGAAAATTTTTAAATTTCACTATCTAATATCGGAGATTTTTCACAAGGTTATTACACTAAAGAATTTTTATTGAGAAAATACAAAGAAACAGCTCATACAAGTTTTATTGTCATTATCGTTATTTTTATTAATGGCGTATCCGAAATTTTCTATTCTTTGCTAATAGTCCAAAAAGGTAAACATATACTGCGTATTTATAATAATTTCTAGAAGTAATCTGAACTGCTTAAAGAATTCTTTTAATAAACCTTCTAAAATTCAATACCGAATTCTTAAATGCGAAAATCGTTTTCCAGAAGAAATTTTCCGATCTGAATGGAAAATTCACCGGAGATCTTCCTCCAAAAATCCGAAAACGCCAATTAAAATAATTTGGAAACGAGTAAAATTATTGCAAAATCATCTTAATGTAATTTCAAAAAAAAAATGCTTCAGTTATTAAAAAAGATATTTATTTTCTTTGATAAATGGTTCATTCTTCGTAAGATTTAAATAAAAGATAATTATCGAAGAATTACCAGATGACGCGCTTGAATATAAAAAATTCTTGCAAATCATAAAGTCGGATATTCAATATAAAACTCTAGAATAAAATTAAGAAGATAATTGAAATAGCTTTTTAAATATTATAAATAAAAATAATACAATTGCACAATATTTACTCAGATTTTGCTATTACAATGTGAATCGGTACACATAAGGCCTTTGAATGGTATTTGAAATCGGCAGTAAAGGAAATACATTCTTGGATTTTGCTATCCAAATGTTATTGGGATGCAAAAATGAGGAAAAATTCTTTATATGGTATTGGAAATCAGCAGATGAAGAGTTGCTAAAGGACGTTATATTCTTTGTTTCTGTTATCGAAATGGTATTGAACGCGAAAAGATGACACAAAAGCTTTTGAGTGGTATATGAATCAGCAGAGGTGACAATGTAATCTTGATTTTTGTTATCGAAATGGTATCGGGACGCAAAAAAGCCTTTGAGTTGCTAAAGGAAAATACAACCTTGGCTTGGTTATCGAAACGATATTGAGGCGTAAAAAGATGAAAAAAGCATTTGAGTGGTATTTTAATCAACAGAGAAGAATGTATTAAGGGAAAAAGCAATCTTGGCTTTTGTTATCAAAATAGTATTGGGATTTGAAAGCAGCTGAGGTGAGAGACGCTGAAGAAAATACAAGCACGATTTCTGTCATCAAAATAACATCTGGATGCGAAAAATTCTCGAGTAGTATTCAAAATTGGCAAAGAAAGGAGATGATCGAGGACAGCAGAATCTCTGTTTCTGTTATCAAATGATTGGGACGCAAAAGAGAAAAAACGTTTGAATGGTTTTTGAATCAGCAAAGGGAGAAAATATCTATACTTTTTTTTTGTTATTGATATTACATCAGGTTGCGAAAAGACAAAAATGCTTTTGAAGATCTGCTGAATCTTAAGTACGATCAATATAAATGTTATCAATAAGGATTTGGAGTTTCAAAGTTCTTTTATAACGTTAAAATGATATAAAAGCGCTATCAAAAACGGTCATTATCAAGCGATAGAGCATGTTAAAAATAATAATTTCATTTTATAATTATTCTTTATTTTAGCCCGAGATATTTTTAAATTTGATTTTAGCATAATCTTTATTTTTTTTTATAAATGTACATGCTATGTAAGCTTTCGTATCTTCACATAATTACAAATAGCTTTATTGTTTTATTTACGTCTAATATTAGTTTTGTTTCAAATTAATTTAATATCATAATTTTAATATATGATAGTTAGGAAGTTCAATGCCGGATGGAGGAGGAGAGACTGTGTATTAGAACAAGCATACCCTCGTTCACGAGCACTATTGAGTTATATGTTTAGCTTTACCATGATCGTGGCAATACAACCGGCTTATACGTCTGCCATAGCAAACGTTTTCGCACAATATTTCTTATATTTAGTTAAAGCAGCAGAACATTGTGATATTGACTATCTGCATCCAAAGAAATACATTACTGATTAGAATTTTTGGTAAGAGATCACGATATGGGATTCACACACCTAAACTATTCTAAATTCAAAACACTTATCATTGGGCAATCACGACTTTGTTCGTTAGCTGCGGTAGTTATAGTTACAGTTTACCACATGGCGTCCAACAAATGGGCAAATCGTATAAATCAAACTCACAATTATAAAGATGTTAACACTGCTTACAATATCGATTATTGGACTTGCAACAATTCCTCATTTTATCAACACTGAAAAGGCGAATTGGAAAAATATGTTTCCTCGTGATGCAAACATAAGTGCACGCTCTTTGACGGCTGCACTTATGCCTATTTTATTTGCATATAGTGGCTGGAATAATTTAAATTGTAAGTGATAAGTTTTTATATGCGTTTCAGTAACTCGGATATTTAAATCTTTTTATCGTTAAATACTTTGGATGAATTCGTCAAACCAAAAAGAAACTTGCTTACATCAAATAGTATTAGTGTGTAAGTATTATTACTATGCGAATGAAAACGATTTGTTGATATTTTCTTAAACTTAATATATTAATGTATGATATACTAGACCTTTGTGCTAATATTGCATACACAAACGTACCATTATCAACAATAACCGGATATAATGAACCTTCAGAAATCATTGCTGGTAAATTCACTTTCCAAGTCGGTGACTTTAAGTTAGCTCGTGCGCTATCTTTTTTCGTTTGTCTATCAGCTTTTGGAGCATTGGCTGCAAATGTATTGGTCGGTTCGCGAGCCATTGTAGCTGCTGCTAAAAGAAATTATCTTCCTTTCTCGTTACAACTCAAAAAATGGAATGAAGATATAGATCCGCCAATTTTTGCATTGGTATAAAATATATTTTCTATTCTCAAATATTTAATCCGAATAATTTATTTTCAGATTACACAAGCAGTTTGGTCTTCGTTGATCATTATCTTTTATCCGCATAATGATCCATTTAAATTTTTTGTTAGTTTGGATGAGTACTGCATGTGGTATTTCTGTTTCTGACTGTTTTGAGATTATTGGTGAGTTTTTATATTAATCTGTGTTTGTTGAGACTTTCAAAAATTCCAATTATGATTCTTACAAATATTGTCGTTATTAGATTTTGCGCCGTTCTCAACCCAATTTAAATCGTCCATTCAGTGTGCCTACAATAATACCCAAACTATTCATTTTATTCACACTATTTGTCATAATTGGTTCTTTCGTAAACGGTTCATCAAAAATATATACACTACAACAATTACCTAACGACGACCAGTGTGATAGTTCGAAAAACCACGAATACTTAGGCTATAAATATTATCTTCCTTATGTCGTCAGTTTGGTTGTAATAGGCGTTGGTGCAATTTTCTGGCCTAGTTAAGGTGATGTTCGAAAATTTGTTCGATCTGTTTTACGAATCTTTTACAGTTTGATTTCGGATTAGTTTGATTAAATTATTAATTTATATATATGAATGGTTTTGTATATAGTCATCTGATATTTCTCGATCAATATACCGTATTTGAAATATAGACAAATAAAAAATGATCGCTTTCCACAAGATTGGTTGCCTTATTGTCATTCTACCACAAAAATAAAGTACGAAATCTTTAATAAAGTATAACAAAACCAAAAAGTTTTTCGTATTTGCAAGTGGTGACTTGGGATAGGAATTGATTCTCTAGAATTGATTAATATTAGAATCGATTATGTAATATGAGAATCGATTGAAATTTGAGACAAAATCGATTAATAACGATAATGCATAAATCGTAATGATTTCACTGATAAATATGTAAATGTTACTAACTACGTACGTACTCTGGCATTCAACAAAAATGTTAATAACCAAGAAACCATTGAGTTTAATAACTCTGATAGTGATACTAATGCCAAAAGTAACTGAAAATTGATCCAAATTTGAATGATATTTATGAAACAACAGAAAATACATGTATACAGAATCTCAATCTGATCACAATTCTTCTGTAGTATCTTTATCATGTAATGTCTCTACGAATTCAACTAATCAAAGTATAACTTCAACTATTCCAACGAAAAGGAAAAAAATCATCATACAATGAAAACAAACCAAAGACTAGTTATGTCATCGTTTGCTGTCGTTGTAATCGTCGTCGTAATCTCCGCTCGAGAATCGATTGTGGGTGAGAATCGATTCCTATCTCTATACCCAACTCTTTCACAACTTGAATGTAAATATTTGACAATTCCTGCCGCATCAGTTCCATCTGAATGTCTATTTTTAGATGTGGAAAACTTAATTACACCTGAACGAAATCAATTAAATGGCCATTTGGTAGAACAAATTGTGCTTATTAAAAGAAACTAAAAATTTGTACAATTTTTCCCAATGCTAATAAATAAAATTGATTAATAATAAATTTCTAAACTAGGTATTTCGATTCTTAGTAATAAACAACAATAGGTTCTACTTGAGAATCGATTCTTATCTCTATGATGAATTCAATTCACTATTAATTGGTAGGATGTCATTAAAGATTTGCGCCAAATGGTAATTGTGTTTTTGTAGCAGTTATTAAAATGATATTCGTATCACTTCTCTTGATGTTGCATATGCTTTTAGATTTAATGGCATTTACTTCGATAACTTTTGCATGTGTGCTGTAATCTGAAGTTGCATTCACTGGAAATTACGAAAATGGGATCCTTTGCACGGTGATACAGCAAAATAGAAATTTGAAATAATGTCAAATAATATTACTGGAGATATGTTAATTAATAAATGGCGATATAAAAGTTTTGTGCATTGATACGATAATTATTAATAGTTCCTAACTTACAATTTTTATTATAAATTTCACTAGTATTATATTGTAGAGATTGACTTAGAAATATAGACCAAAGAATATGGTTGAGTTTCTTGTAGTTACAGTATTTAATGTGGCTTTCTAACAATAATTCCATTCGATTCACATAAAAAATTTGTTTATTTGTAGTGGATGATGACAACAATATGTTGAAGTGCTAAATGGTGTTCATATTAAAGAAGATACTGATGTTTCTTGTGTGCATTTGCATGTAGAAATTATTCAAGCAGAAAATTTTTATATTATAGATTTTTGCATATTTGATATTGACTATCATAGTTTTCAGCTTAAAGTATCCCCTAGGCTTAATTTAACCTCAAAGCTATTAAGCAATTGAAAGTGGTCTCGTTTTATTAATAGTATTAAGAAATCACCTAAATATAAAAATAATATCGATATTACTTCTGGAATTTGTTTTACAGCAACGGCAACGACTTTTGGGGAAAAGGACCACGATATTAACAATTTAGTAACATCTTGAAACAAATTTTGGGATTTTTTCCATTAATTCATGATCCGCGTGGAAATCAGTGAAAATTTACTATTAATTTTAGGGATAAATTATTAGCGTTATAGTTTTTTTGTCATTCCGATGTATTTACAGAACATACTAAAATTTACAGAACATACTAAAATAGATTAATAGTAGAGTTTGGGCCAATAAGATAATTTTTTAGTTTGCGAATTATAGAATATTATTATTATTATTATTAAACGTACGATTGTAAACAGAATAGACTTCTAATTGAGAGAAAAAATTCAACAAAGCTTTATTGATCCAGATTAAGGAAATAATTTGCAAATTAATATATTTTTGGGAACATAAAGTTTTTCTTTAGATAATTTATAAAAATTCTTTGCTACCACAGGAATTATCAGAGTCACCTATTTTCTTTCTACATGTATATAGTGTTAGGCACAGTAAATCTTTAATATTAGAGTTTTTTTTATTAAAATATACAGTAGGGGACATAAGTAACTGTACCCTCCTAATTTATCATAAATAGCTGAATCTTTTATCATGTGAAGTGCAACACAAAAGCTGATTCTCAGTGGCTTATATAGCTTTTTAATAACATTTTACGATTATTACAACTTTTCTCTTCACAAGTAATATAAAAATTAACTCATAGTGTAATATCTTGATGTACAATGATTTGTTTCGTACACAAATGCTACCATTCGATTCGCCCTGACTAGACTAATTGAATGATAGCATTTGTATGCGAATCGGACCACTGGATGTTAAGACACTATGTCCTAAAGTGACCGATTTATTTTTGAGATAATCAAAATCTTTCATCGTTTGGTAATTGATGGTATGTCTAAGACAATGGCAATCACCGCTACAGTTGGCAATAGTGATAGATTGCAAAGGGTTTCAAATTTTGGTGGGTAAATGAATGAAATCGCTTCCCCGATGCACTTTTCATAAAATTTGTCTGTGATATAAAATGCCATGTTTTGCCACTAATAGAGACCAATGGAA